CCCTGTATTATGTCTTACAACTGCATACAGATATACACTTATCTCAATACAGAAGTTTCATTTTAAAATGGTAGGGCTGGAAGCATGGCTTGAGTGGTAGAGTGGCAGCAAGAAAGCTGAGCAAGTACCATGCCCTGAGTTCAAGCCCAAGCCCTGATACTGGCAAAATAACAACAAAAACATACCAAAATAAAGCAAAACCAAAAACAAGGCCATAGTACCACCAAAAAGGTCAATAATAATTCTTATTTACACCTTATTGTGAGGTACACACATGCCCAAAATATGCCTTTAATTCCCATGCCTTTGCCTTGAATATCAGACAGACCTTGATTCATAACCTGTATGTGAGCACCCAACAAATATTAGCAAATTACTTCACTCATCTAGTCTCTATGTTTTCTCTCATCTGGAAAAGAAGATAATGGCTGTTCCTATTTCACAGTGGCTTTTTTTTTGGGGGGGGGTCCAGTCGTGGGGCCTGAACTCTGGGCCTGGGCGCTGTCCCTCAGCTCTTCAGCTCAAGGCTAGTGCTCTACCACTTGAGCCACAGCGCCACTTCCGGCTTTTTTTGCTTATGTGGTGCTGAGGAATCAAACCCAGGGCCTCAGGCATGCAAGGCAAGCGCTCTACCACTGAGCCACCTCCCCAGCCCCTCACAGTGGCTTTTATGTCAGTACAAATACTGTTTTTATTATTTCAACTTACCTCTAGCAAGAATATTCTTCCTCCTTTATCTGCCTTTTGAAATAGAACATCATCTCTGGCCAACTTTTGAAATCCAGGTCAAATGCTAGCCCATTCATTACATTTTCTCTTCCTCCCAGTTGGAAGGGATCTATCTTGTCCTCCTCTGAAGTCTCCAAGAAAGAATAAGGCAAAAGACAGTTTAACTAGGAACCTCTTTGAGGAGATTTTGTCTGAATGTGTTTGGTTTCTCTAAGGAATCAAGCTTACAGATGTCAGGGGCAAAAAGGGAATGGGTTGTTTAGCTCTGTCATTCCTCTTATTACTTAAGAAGAATGCTTTTCACATGCAATAATCAGACCACATCAGATCATGCACAAAGAGAAACACATGATTATTTCCAATCACAGACATTTGCAATAAGGATATGTGGGAAGTGTGTGGCCAGGAATTCTCCTAACCAACTACCATGTCTCTGTAGGTCTACCTTGGTATGTATAGGGTTCACCCCAGGGAAAAAATCCAAAAGGAGGCTCCCATGTCAGATGTGACAATCTTTTAAACTTATAAATGAAACTAGAACACCAATTTGAGAATAAAACAAATTGTATAATATTGCAACTATTCAACACAAAGCCTTAGTTTGTGAGTCCTGCAGATTAGAAGATTAAGCTAGAAAAATATGCAAGGATGAACCACCTGCATTATGCTAGAATGCATTTCTACCCCCTCTCATGGAGGTGAGATTTTGACAGGTATATTGACTACTTTCCCAACTCTATCTTCCTAACATACTCCTGGCTCTTCAGTCCTCTCTATGGCCCAAAGGAATGTCTGTCTCTGGTGTGGCAGTGGCACCACCCAGATACCTTCCTAGTACCCACACTTGTGTGTCTCTTTTGGAGAACATGGGGCAAGAGAGATTGAAGAATATTTCTTTGAGGCATGACCATGTTTGACCCAAGAGTAGATTTTAGTATATGAGCCAAGCTGAGCTAGCACTAAGTGCTATAGACGGAGAGAGAGAGAGAGAGAGAGAGAGAGAGAGAGATTTTTGGTTTTGTGTGTGTTATAATTTGGATATGGAGTATACCCCTAACATAATAGTATCCCCTTGAAGTCTTATCCTCAGGGGGTGGCACCATTGAAAGAAACTCACTCACTTGAACTTCTTTATGAAATTAATTCATTGATGAGTTCATAGTCTAATGGACCATTAGAAAGTAGGGACTACTTAAAGGAATTGGGTTACTAAGTACACACCTTTAAAGGGTATGCCTTGACCCAATCTTTCTATTTCCTGTCTGCCATGAGGAGAGTATCCTTCTCTGCCACATGCTGTCCCTGCCATGGCATTCTGCCTCACCACAGGCCCACAGCAACAAAGCCAGCTGACCCTGAACTGAAACCTCTGTACCCCTGAGCCAAAACTACCTTTCCTGCTTTAAGTTGATTTTCTCAGGTACTTTATCACAGTGACAAAAAGTGATTGATGCAGTATGTTTAAGATATGAAGAGCTCTCTAAAGCATGGGGTACAAGACAGCCATCTCAAGATGTCAACCCACTGCATGGTTTCTGATTGTCAGGATTCCCAAAGAAAGACAGAGCTTACACAGGCTCTGAATAGAACAGTCCTTCACTGGTGAGTGGATCTGTTTCAGTAGTATGCACTGGTAACCTACTGCCAATGGCACCATCCTACAACCAATACAGGACAGTGGCCTATTTCCTCTCCAGCAGTAATGGACATAGTAGTGAGGTTGACCAGATGCCTATGACAAAGGTGCTAAAGAACAGAAGAGTTTATACTGTGTCTGGGACAGAGGCAGATTCTCCTACATAAGCATAGTCATATTGGTAAAGAAGGATTCTAGACCTAAAGTCACACATCTATGTCCTGCTGTGCAAGGCTCCAATGACTGCATGCATATGACTGCCGTTCCTAACAGGATGTGCAGCTGGCCAGAGAGAATGCTAGAATACACTCACTTGCCTTTGTTTAGGACAACAATCAGCAGAGACTGCTTTGTTCAGCAGGATTTTTCACTCCACTAGAACTGATTGGGCTGTTGTGCTGATCCTTAATTTGGATAATGGCTAATGGGAATTGTTCCTCAGAAGTCAGCTCAGAGACAGCTTGTTTGACTCAGGCCCTACACCAGTAACGTTGCTTCTGCCCAGTCCCTAGTCCATCAGATGAGCTCAGGCGCCTGGGACAACGTCACTTGGAAACTTGAGCAACAGCATCCTGTGCAGGGAAGAACCAGTGTCAGGACTCTTTCCTCTGAAGGGAGCTGTACTTGGAGCAGCCACTCTGAGACTTTGTGAACACTTAGGGATACTTATTCCCAATGCGTGGATAAAGAATGAATGAAAAATGAAATGGAAGCAACAGCAGAAAAGTTCTAGACTCAGTGCAGGGCACAGAATGAAGAGAAACTTTCTCAAGGAGAAAACATTTTTACTCAAGTGTTCTGATCCTTGGTCTACTTTGGCGCCAGATAAGCATACTGTGCAAGCTTATATCCTGGGATGTAGTAAGAGCTGCATTTACAGGATATTTGGTATTTCTGTAAGGCCAGAAGTTGTGGGGTGTGCCAGGCAATATTGTGAAACAATTACAGCAACCCCCTGTAGGATAGTTGTGAGATGTCTATAACTAGCACCATGTCTGGAACATGGAAAGCACTGACTGTCATTATTGGTCTGGTGTAGCTTGTGGAGCAGCACAGTGTACTGCCTTTGGTTATGCCAAGCTTTGGAAGATTTAAGATTCACACCTCAGCTGAATCTTAACTGTCACACCAGTGATGCTTAGCAGAGAGGGAGAAAGAAAAGTAATAAAAAAGACTCAGGACACACACAAAAGCCAGTCACAAATGTTTTCAAGAAATGGCTATATGACTCAGGTACAGGGGCACAAGCCTGGAATCTTAGCTTTTAAGGAAGTATAAATTGGGGCAATAGCTGGTTCAAGAGCAGGCTAAGAAAAAAAGCTTGAAAGACTCCATATGAAACCCCTCTGTACATCACCTTTTCAATAAAATAAAATACTATTTTTAAAATAAATAACTAAAAAAGACTCCGTCTGAAACGATCATTGGGAGTGGTGGCATACAACTCTTACCCCAGCTATTGATGAAGTATCAATAGCAGAATCACTGTTCAGGCTGACTAGGATATAATACAAGACCTTATCACAAAAATAAACAATGCAGTAGTGGAGTACCTGTGTGGCAAGTATGAGGCCCTAAGTTCAAATCCCAGTACTAATTTTAAAAAAGAAGGAAGAGAAGAAAGGAAAGGAATGGGAAGGGAAGGAAGGAAGGAAGGGTGGAAGGAAGGAAGGAATGAACGAACGGAAGAAAGAAAGAAGGAAGGAAGGAACGAAAGAAGGAAGGAAGGAAGGATTTAGTAGTTAATTTCCTAACCATTCAAATGTGTCTTCTCTTTAGAATTCTGAATGCTGGGCAAATCCTTGCCAAAGAATTAAGGACAAGGGACAAGAAGCAATTCAACAGAAGGGGAAAGGGAGAGGAAGGGATAGTAATTCAGCCAAAGTCAAGTCCCAAAGAAGCAGCCACACTTAGATTTAGCCCTTTTTAATCTCTTGGAGAATTTTTTTTAAAACAAAACGCTTGATTGATCACCAGCATCTCTTTGAATGAGCTGTTTCTTTGTAATGCCTATAATCAACAGGAAATCTAGCGAGTAAACTGGTTTCTTAATTTCTATGGACTGTTGAAGATTCAACCTGTGAAGAGAGTAAGATAGAAGATGTGAAAACTCTGGAGATCAGCCAACTCCCACTGACACCTGAAGTGGAGGCAAATTTGTAGGGCTAAGCCATTAACCTGTGAATTCTACACAACATCCAGGGAGATAGTAACAGAAAGGGAAGTATTTAGAATGATGGAAGAGTAGAGAAGAAATGGATTCTTCTTTCAAAAAGTAGTACAATTCTGCATATGTTTTTAAAGGTAGGGCTAAAAGAACTTATTCATGAATTGGATGTGGGATGAGAGACAAAGGAGACATCAAATACACCACCAGGTGCTGTGTAAGGAGTCACACTTTCATGAGTTTTCATTGGTGGATCCCATGTTTATGGGTTACTGGGTACTTCAAGGTGGTTAAGTCCTGAGAAAGAAAAAGGAAACTCTTCTGATTTAGCAGATTACTGAGTCTCTTAGGAGAAGGATCCCCCACAAAATATGTATTCTCAGCCTGTATGCACTTGGGCCAGTTTAAGAAACTCCCTAGGACTATCTTTGTACTCACTTCCTGTTGCATTCTGAGCCTTCAATTTCCTATTGCACTCACCGTCTTGTTCCTTCTTTTAGAAACCGTGTGTTGAACATTAGATAGCCAAGGAGCAGCACTCTGAACTGAGCCCTGTGACTTCCTGGGGATCCTCCTCTCACAAATATAAGGGCAGGTCAAGAAATTAGGGAGCAGGGACTCGAGCATTCCCAGGCCAAGCTCTGCCTGCCCAGCAAGAAGATGCATGTCCCAATGGCTGCTTTCTCCTTCCTCCTCCTTGTTGTTACCCTGGGTTCTCAGGCATTGGTCATACATGGTGAGTACCTTAGCTTCTCCTTAGAGGTCAGATCTACGGTAATTCATGGCCTAGGGAGGAGATATGGACAGGCAGCCCTGCCATCCCATTCTCTCCCTCTCTCTAATCATGGTTCTGGGGCTTTCTTAAGAGCAGCATCAGGATACAAGCCTGCTTTTCTGCAGCCTGTGGTCCCTGGGAAAATTCTACACAGATCCCTGGCTTCCTTTTGGAGACAGTTATTTCTCTTTTCATGGCTAGAATGGTATGTTCCTGTCCTTACATAACCTGTGCACACCTTACCTGGTACTCTAAAAATCTCAATTAAGAGATTGATTTAAGATGTTGCAAGCTCTCTACGTACTCAGTACTGACGCAACATTTCTTAAACTGTATTTTAAGTAGTTGTATAAAGAGGTTATAATTCCATATGTCAGGTTCAAGTATAATGCTGATGTAACATTTTTAAAGTCCATTTTCAGGTTGGGGATTTAGCTCAGTGTAAGAGGACTTGCAGGGCCCTGAGTTCAGTTCTCAGCTTGAAAAAGAAAAGAATATTTTCAGTCCCAAGTTGGTTGACTGTATGGATGGATGAAGAACCTCAGATATGGAGGTTATAAAAAATGTGGAGCCAGGTGCTAGTGGCTCATGCCTGTAATCCTAGCTACTCAAGAGGCTGAGATCCAAGGATCATGATTCAAAGCCAGCCTGAGGCAGGAAAGTCCATGAGATGCTTATTTCCGATTAACCACCAGAAAACTGGAAGTGGGGCTATAGCTATAAGTGGTAGAATGATGTCCTTGAGCAAAAGAGCTCAGGGACAGCACCCAGGCCCTGAATTCAAGCCGCATGACTGGAAAAAAAAATATTAAGAACAATATAAAACTAGTGATGGACTAAGTTGATAGTTGAATCTTTATTGCTGTTATGGGTTTTTTTCATATTTATTTATTTTTATTAAGTAGTGTACAAGAAATTTCAATTCCAGAAATCAAGTTATGACACAATGCACCAGTATATTTTGATATTAAGGTAAACAGCAGTTTTTTGTGTGTGTGTGTACGTGTGTGTGTGTTTTTGGGGTCCGGTTGTGGGGCCTGAACTCTGGGCCTGAGAGCTGTCCCTCAACTCTTCAGCTCAAGGCTAGCGCTCTACCACTTGAGACACAGCGCCACTTTTGGCTTTTTTCTTTTTGCTTATGTGGTGCTGAGGAATCGAACCCAGGGCCTCAGGCATGCAAGGCAAGCGCTCTACCACTGAGCCACCTTCCCAGTCCCAGTAAACAGCAGTTTTAAAGCTGGCTTTATTCTCTGATGTAATGAATTGTGGAAATAAACTACATTTAAATTTGAAAGGAGATGGGGGGGGAGGATAGAAAAGAGAAGAAAGGAAAGCTGAAAGTTGAGCTGCAGCTGCCTAATTATCATTATGCAGGTCTACAATCCCATGCCCAAATTCATTAGAGCTATGGACATTTTGGAATACAGAATTATAGGGGGATTGAAAAGCAATTCTAACTTTGGGTATATAATGAAAAAATTGAAGGTAGGTACATGAAAAGATTTTAATATGCTCATGTCCGTAGGGCATATTCACACAAAGCAAAAGGTTCCAACACTCTACCTGGATATGTTCAAACACTACTAGATAGATGGATGGATGGATAAAATGTGGTAGAGAATTGTGAAGCTAATTGGGGAAAGAAAGTCCTTAAGACTTAAGGCTCTTATCTCTAATTAACTAATCACCAAAAAGCTGGAAGTGGAGTTGTGACTAGCGTTGAGGAAAAAAAACCTTGAGGGACAGCGCTCAGGCCCTGAATTCAGCATAAAAATAAATAAATAAAACAAAATAAAATAAAAGGAATACATGCATATCTGACTGTTACATATCCTAGGTGGGATCTTAGATACGTACCTTATTTTAATTTTACTTTTTAAAATTTTTCACATGAAAGTAAACCCAGGAGTGTGTGTGTGTGTGTGTGCGCGCGCGCGCGCGCACATGCGCGCGTGTGCGTGCGTGTGTGTATGCTCGTCCTACAGCTTGAACTCAGAGCCTGAGCACTGTTGCTGAGCTTTGTGCTCAAGGCTACTGCTCTACCAACTTTGAGCCACAGTGCCATTTCAGCTTTTTTTTTTCAGTAGTTAATCAGAGCTAAGATTCTCATGGAGGGGCTGGGAAGGTGGCTCAGTGGTAGAACGCTTGCCTTGCATGCATGAGGCCCTGGGTTCGATTCCTCAGCACCACATAAGCAAAAAGAAAAAAGCCAGAAGTGACGCTGTGGCTCAAGTGGTAGAGACCCAGGCCCAGAGTTCAGGCCCCACGACCAGACCCCCCCTCCCCACCAAAAAAGATTCTCATGGATTTTTGTACCAGGGTTGGCTTTGAACTGTGATCCTCAGATCTCAGCCTCATGAGTAGCTAAGATTACAGGCATAAGCCACTGATGCCTGGCTTCAATATTTTTTCTATTAACATGCACTAGCCATATATGGAGTGTTCCATTGTGACATTTTCACCCATGTGTATAGGTATTCCAATCCACCTTCCCCTCTCCATCATTCTCTTCCTTCCTCTCCCCGTTCTTAAAACAGTTTCAGCAGTTTTCATTGCATAATTTTTATTTGTGCAAATAAACTGCCATTTTCTGGGATGTATACTCCCATCAAAAACCATATGACTAAGGCTGGAAAGGTGGCTCAGTGGTAGAGCGCTTGCCTTGCATGCATGAGGCCCTGGGTTCGATTCCTCAGCACCACATAAGCAAAAAGAAAAAAGCTGGAAGTGCCACTGTGGCTCAAGTGGTAGAGCGCTAGCCTTGAGCTGAAGAGCTGAGGGACAGCGCCCAGGCCCAGAGTTCAGGCCCCAGGACTGGACCAAAAAAACCATATGACTATTCATAAACCAAATGTAGTATGACTATTCATAAATGAAAACTGTAACTTTATGCTCTATAGGAAGTGTACTCATTACCCCACTCATGTAACTGTAACCCCTCTGTACAGCTTTTTTACAATAGAAAACATATATTAAAAAAAGAAAAAGAAAACTACCTTATTTTAAGGAACATTGTGCCCCCAAATAAGTTGATGAAGAACTTGCCATTTCCAGAGATCTTTAGAAATTTCCAGAAATGTGTAATCAAAATTGTTGTCTGAGCTGGGCACCAGTAGCTCACACGTTTAATCCTAGCTACTCAGGAGGCTGAGATCTGGGGATAGCAGTTCAAAGCCAGCCCAGTCAGGGAAATCCATGAGACTCTTAACCACCAGAAAACTGGAAGTTACGCTATGGCTCAAAGTAGTAGCATCCTTGAGGAAAAAGCTCATGGACAGTGCTTAGGTTCTGAGTTCAAGCCCTACAACTGACAAAAAGAAAAAGAATTGTCTGAATCTCACTATATACATGTTTAATTAACTTGTCCATGTTAGACTTGAAGTTTGCCTTCAGCATTTTAGAAGCTGTATAATGTTTTCATGGTTTAAAATTTTTCAGAATACCAGGGGGGAAATAGCCAATGGTAGGCCTAGAATTAACATAGGTGACGGAGCTCCAGCATCAGAGCCAATCTCCCTTAGAACAGGAGATAAAGGGAACCAAGTATGATATCGTACATATGTAATCCTAGCACTTGGGAGGCTGAGGCAGGAAAATCACAGAGTTCAAGGCCAGCCTGGGCAAAGGAAAAGGTGAATGGAAATGCGGAGGTAAGGCTGCCTCCCAGCAATCTCTCTCACAAAATCATTGATCTTTTCCAGAATCAAAGATAGGAGAACTCCTGAAGGCAAAGCGTCAACATGGGCCAACAATTACTCAGCAAGGTAAATGACCAGACAGGACATATATTTAAAAGAAGCAGGTAGGTACAGATTGGCACTCTGTCTTTACCTACCTGTTTACAGGACAGTGGGAGTGGAGTTGGGGGGGGAGGAGGAAAGGGGGGAGGTCCTGAAGGGGTGAACAATGAAGACCATTCATATGGGCCATAGATAACCTCTCCATTTCCACCTGGATTCCTGAGTCTTTCCCCTTGGCTTAAAAGCTGTCTTCAGATGCCTTCCCTTTCTGCACAGATGCTCTGGCCCTTTATAGCCCAGACATGTAGGGAGGGTGTGAAGCCAGGAGCTGGCAGAGGAGGAAGCAGCAGCTTCCTTTTTGAGACCTGGCCCTTCTCACCCTCCTCTAACCCTTCTACAGTTCTTTGGAGGGAAAATACTTGGACCTTAAGTGACCCATTCTCCTCCTGCAGGTATTAGCCGTCCGTCTGACTGCTGCTTCTCCTACACTTCCCGGAGAATCCGATGCTCGGTCATTAGAGATTATTTCTTAACAAGCAATGGATGTCCCCTGCCAGGTCTCATGTAAGTGCCATGCTCACCCTTTCTGAACTGGGGGAGAAGGAGCCTGCAGGGTCTTGTTGGCAGGACCTGATGAATGGAATCCAGAAAAGTCCCTCCTATGAATCCTGCCAGGTGGATAGCTTGTGTCTCCACCACAATCCTGCATGAGGGGGGAAGGGGGAAGAGAGAGAGAGAGAGAGCAGGCAGAAGACTTCCCAAGGTTACTTCCATGAGCCACTGGGGAGTCTCAGAGAGGACACAGATCCTGAACTATCTTTTGCAGAGAAGGAAAAGAACAGATGGGTTGAAGGGAGGACTGGAGCGTAGGAGGAGGGTTTCCCTTCCCCTATTCGCTGAAGATATCTCAAGTTACAGTCATTCACCTCTTTGCCTCCCAGTGTCCTTACCAGGAGAGGGCAACGTGTCTGTGCCAACCCCAGTGACTCAAGAATTCAGAGTTGCATCGGAATCCTGAACGTGACTTCGAGGGCTCAGGACCTTGGCATTTATAAAGGAGAAGATATATAAGTTTTTATTCATCCCAGTTCTAGCTCTCTGACCCTACTTACCTTTTGGGGGGGGTCTCTTGGCCTCTATTGTTATTATTATTTTTAATGTTTATTCTTCTGTTCTGGTTTAAAGCAATGTACCTAATAAACAGAGTCTGTGTGCATGCAGCCTCCTGTGACTACAGGCTTCTTGAGTCGTAACCACATACTTACCCCAGAATCACTCTAATTAGGTTTTCTAGCATAATTTCTTGGTGAATTATAAATGCAGAAAACTATTACAGCAGTGTGAAGAGTTTTACCATGGGAGCCTGGCTTCAAGAATGCACCTAAATTTTTGCCATTAACGTAAGAGAAATTCACCTAGGATGAAATAATTTTGCCCTGACTTATATACATGCCTTCTTTCTGATTCAAAGTATGGGGATTTAACTAGTCCCACAGCCACCTAGGTATACCATTCCTCCAGTCAGTACTCCCTTTAAATCTCACTCCAAGCAATCTTAGATCTGTGTGCCATTCTTTCTTTGGTCTCACAGCCTCTCAGGGCAGGCAGTCCTCATACTCTAGCAATGGGTTGCTCTGAAATAGTATCTAATTTACTTGTTATTTTTGTTGTTGTTGTTTGCTGGTCATGGGGTCTGAACTCTGAACTCTGGGCCTGGGCACTGCCCCTCAGCTCTTCAGCTCAAAGCTACGGTTTAACCACTTGAGCCACTTCCAGCTTTTTCTGCTTATGTGGTACTGAGGAATCGAACCCAGGGCCTCATGCATGGGAGGCAAGCACTCTACCACTGAGCCACCTTCCCAGCCCCATTTACTTGTTATTTTTAAGAGAAAAAAATCTGAGGCAATTAATCTATTTCAGAAAATATCTTCAAAACAAAAGACATTGTAGTTTAATTTTTAGATAACTAAGACCATGGCTCATTCAAATATAGATCATGTATATGCCAAAGATGTTTTTGACCCTTTAGCAAGGGAAACATTAAATTGGCCTGAAGATCTTTGCTGGATTCCTGAGCAGTAGATCCATATACTGTATAAACACCGGCACATCCACAGTTGCTGCATTGTTCACAACAGCCAAACTATGCAATCAGCCTATGTGTCCATTAACAGATGATGTATAAAGAAAATGTAGATTATATATACTCAGGAGTACTATTTATCCATAAAGAAGAATGAAATTATGTCATTTTCAGGAAAAATATATGGAACTGGAGATCATCATGTTAAATTAAATATGTCAATTTCACAAAAAAAATAAATACCACTTTTTTCTTCATTGCAAAATCTATATCTAAGGGGTGGGGAGTAGGGATTTTGACATGGTAGCTCATGTCTATGACTATAGCTATTCATGAGGCAGAAATCAAGGGCAAGAAGGTGGAAGTTCAAGACCAGCCTCAAACAATAAAATCTGGATGTGATGGTATACATCTGGATGTCAGTAATTTAGGAAGAATGAATAGAAGGCTCATAGTCCAGGCTGGGCCACTGCATATTTGAAAAATACTAAAGCAAAAAGAGATGGAGGGAGGGGCTAGCTCAAGTGGTAGAGAGCTTTGCCTGGTAAGCATAAGGCCCTATGTTCAAACCCCAGTATCACCAAAGAGAGAGAGTTAGAGAGCAAGAGAGAAGAACATAAAAAGGGATACTATTGGGGGGTGGCAGGAATAAGAGGGGAAAGAGGAGGGAGGATAAGATTATACTTCATCTGCATCTATGAAAAGATCATAATAAAGACCATTTTTAAAAACAGATTAAGAAAGAGAGGTAAAGGAGGGGCATGAAAGTCTAATAGGGGTTCAGCATAAGTGGACTATATTATATACATGTATGGAAAGTTATAATGAAACTCCTCACATTTTACAATTAATGTGCACATTTTAAAAGTCCCAAGTAACGAAAGATGAAAATTATTGCAATCCCAAGGAAGTTAAACACAATTTTACATATGTCTCATCTCTTCTGCTCTCCCATACTTTAAACTAATCTTTGAGGTTTGATGAAAACTTAGAGAGCAGCATTTTTTTTTACCATAATTTGCTTAAATGGCAAATGTGTGTGTGTGTGTGTGTGTGTACTAGAGCTTGATCTCAGGGCTTGGAACTCTTGCTCATTGTCTGAAGCTTAACCATTCCAAACACACCTCCAGTTCTAGCATTTTGCTGCTTAATTGGAGATAAGAATCCCTAAGATTTGTCTACCCTAGCTTGTTTCAAACCTCCATCTTCAAATCTCAGCCTCTGAGTAACTATGATTATAGGCATGAGCCGTCAGTAACTTTCAAATGAAACATTTTTGTTTATTCAATATTCCACCCATGAAAATCTCATGCACATTCCTTTTCCAATAATTTTTCATTAGATTATTCTTTCCTCAATTGAAAAAAACTTAGCCCAACGCCAGTGGTTCACAGCTATAACCCTAGCTACTCAGGAGGCTGAGATCTGAGGATCTCAGTTCGAAGCCAGCCCAGACAGGAAAGTCCATGAAACTCTTATTTCCAATTAACCATCAGAAAACCAGAAGTGGCACTATGGTTCAAAGTAGTAGAACACTAGCCTTAACAAAAAAAAACTCAGGGACAGCACTCAGGCCTGGAGTTCAAGCTCCATGACTGACAAAAAAAAAAAGGAACTTCATTATCATTATCATTGCTCCACACTTGACCTTGGAGATTCACAAAACCTGTCTTATGATACTTACTTCATCCTTGGAAATGTTCCAGAATCTTGTTAACTATACTTAGGAGTTTGTTAAGAGGGTACATTTTGTGTTAGGTGTTTTAGCCCCACTCACACACATAACAGAGAATTGGTATATGAAGAAGATAGCATTAAGTAAATATTTAAAATAGAGTCTGACTGAAACTAGATGCTGTGGAAGACTTTAGAAATACACTTGGCCCAGTCTAGAGAAAAAGCCAAGATTCCTGAATATAGATGATGAGTTAGTAGGACCCGTTTATCCTCTGGGCACTGGTATTGGATCCTGAAATATATGTATTCATTCCAAAAGAAAAAAATCTACATTAGTAAATGTGTTAACTTTCAATTTAATACAAACTAAAGTACCATCATCCTAAGAAATGGAAAAACCATACAAGAAAGAAGAATTCAGGGGGCTGGGAAGGTAGTTCAGTGGTAGAGCGCTTGCCTTGCATGCATGAGGCCCTGTGTTCTATTCCTCAGGACCATATAAGCAAAAAGAAAAAAGCTGGAAGTGGCACTGTGGCTCAAGTGATAGAGCGCTAGCCTTGAGCTGAAGAGCTGAGGGACAGTACCCAGGCCCAGAGTTAGAAAAGAAGAATCTAGTTGTAAAGGGCCTTCCATACTCAGATAACGTTGGAGTTATAACTCTGGTACTATGTGAAGAAGTCCCATGGCCATGTTTATGTGTTACAGTGTCCCCTCAGTGGTCACCTCTGGGGAGACCTAAAGGTCCCAAATGGAGTGGTTAGACCATGAGGTCATCAGTGCCTAGGGAGAGCTCAGGGTCCCTAATCCTGAGGTGTTCCAGCACTTATTTTGGTGACACTTAACCTTTCTAGTCCTCCCTGGTAGGGACTCCAGGAAGTGGAAATAGGAACAAGATGATGTCTACCAAGTCCAACCCTAACTACAGAGTCTAAGTGTCCTTCACTTCCACCCTTCAGTGGCTCAGGTGAGAGGTCTTAAATTCAATCTCAAATGCGAGAGATGTGGGGGAAGTAATTATCATTAACTCTTGCTGACAGAATTTACTGGAACAGTTAGGAAAGCCCCAATTCACGTTTGTTCTCCACTTCTTGTTGCATTCTCAACCTTGTTCCTTCTTTTCTTTTTTATAGCCCAAGTCCAGCATTCTGAACTCTGTCCTGTAATTCCTTAACCCTCCTTTTGTAAATATGAGGGCAGGCCAAAGCGTCGGAGAATAGTGAGTCCAGGTTCCTCAGGCCAACTCTGTCTTCCTACCAAGAAGATGAAGTTCTCCATGGTTTCGCTCTCCTTTCTCACCCTTGCTGCTGTCCTAGGAACCCAAGCCCAGGTGATAAATGGTGAGTGCCTCAGGCTCTCTCTCTGGTCTGCAGTAACTCATAGTCTGGGAGATGGGAAGAGACTTGGGCAGGCAGCACTGCCCTCTCTTGCATACTGTCCATCTCAAACATGATTCTGGAACTTCACTTAGAAGTAGCAGTAGGATACAGACCTTTCTCTCTGTAGCCTGTGGTCTTTAGAGGGGAAAAAAAAAAACTCTACACAGAGAGACCATCTGTGGTTATATATGTTCTCTTGGCTGACAGACTATTAAGTACTAGATCAAAAGCTCTTTTGTGAAGTAGTAAATTTGTGGAAAGATGTATAGAATTCTGTGATGTTACAAGTATGATGTACAATCTGTGTAAAGCTATCATTTTGAGAGGAAGTAGAACAGGCAACTGACTCCAAGGCCACCCCTCTCATTTGAACCTGTGGGATTTTAATTCACAGAGGTGACTGAGTCTCAACAGAGAGAGTATAAGGCCATTGAAAATAGAGCTTATTACTTACATTTCCCAAGACAGAGAAAAGGTACAGCTCTGGACCACAGAGAGCATCGGGAGGCAGCTCGAGAGGCATGAGCTTATTGGTGACCTTAGGAGGGAGCCAGAGCAAAGCACAGCACACAGGGTAGGACTGGCTAGTCTGAAAAAGTCCACCAAGCTTTGGAGTTAGTAGTGATCTCTCATGGTATGACATCTGGTTTTAGGATGATGTGGAGCAAAAGTAATACTGGCATGATCAAATAAAAGGGGTGGCTGGGCATCTGGACTCAGAATTAGCTTGTTTGGACTCTTCGCTGTCTCTAAGAATTGGCTGGGTCTGGGAGAAGTAGACTCTGAAGCTGTCAAGATTTTAAAGTTGTGGGACTGGGAAGGTGGCTCAGTGGTAGAGCGCTTGCCTTGCATGCAATAGGCCCTGGGTTTGATTCCTCAGCACCACATATGCAAAAAGGAAAAAAGCCGGAAGTGGCGCTGTAGCTCAAGTGGTAGAGCGCTAGCCTTGAGCTGAAGAGCTGAAGGACAGTGCCCAGGCCCAGAGTTCAGGCCCCATGACTGGACCCCCAAAAAAAAAAAGATTTTAAAGTTGTCGAAACAGAAAATGAAAATACGATCGATACATTCCACTAATCAGTATTTTTTATTTAGCAAATACACTATTTAGAACTTTTTGATGTGCTAAGTAATGACTGTCCTAAGTGTCTTATAAAATGTTAAAACATTGATTCATCTTGGCTAGGGGCATGGCTTACGTGGTAGAGCCTGCATAGCAAGCTCAAGGCCAAATTCAAGCCCTAGCATTGAAAAAACAAATCCTCTTAATACCCTTGTGGGTGGTAGCTATTAAGGTAAATTTGTGTGTGTGTGTGTATGTGTGTATACTTGTATGTGCTGCTTTGCCCAGCTTTCTTGCTCATGGCTGGCATCCTACCACTTGAGCCATACTTCCAGCTCAACATTTTTGCTGGTAATTGGAGATAAATGTCTCTAGGGCTTTTCTGTTTAGGCTGGCTTTGAACTTCTATCTTCTAGAGCTCAGCCTCCTAAGTAAGTAGAATTACAGGTGCAAAACAACAGTGCCCAGCTTAATATGCTACTCTAATAGGAAAGAAAGCAACAGTAAGACATCAGTGTTTTTATATAGCTTTGTGTATTATTATTACTATTCTCATTTTACAAATGAGAGACCTCCAGCACAGAAACCTTAGATACTTAAGATCAGATGACGAATAAATAATACAATTAGGAAATGAGCTAGTTAGGACAAAGCTGTGTCAGATTTGATTCCAGGCCCACAGGAACTATCCGCATGCTTTATTAAATATGATTCATATGTAACTAAGAAATGAACTAAAGTTTTCTTGCATTAGCCTAATTAGCATAATGCACTTCAACAATTTCTTATTTACCTAAATACATCTAATACAAGGGCTAGATGTGTTTTAGATTGCAAAATTTTGATGCTTTGGGGACAATAACACATATCTGCATATTACTTTACTATTTTTGGTAATGATTGGGCTGGGAAGGTGGCTCAGTGGTAGAGCGCTTGCCTTGCATGCCTGAGGCCCTGGGTTCAATTCCTTAGCACCACATGAGCAAAAAGAAAAAAGCCAGAAGTGGCGCTGTGGCTCAAGTGGTAGAGCACTAGCCTTGAGCTGAAGAGCTTAGGGACAGTGCCCAGACCCAGAGTTCAGGCCCCCCAAAAAATATTTTTGGCGATGACTGGTGAGCATACTTTAATCAAATACTTAGGATTCTTTATACAAAGTTAGATAAATAAAGATTTCATAACCTCACTTCATTTCAAGAGGACATTGTATCACAAAATGAATTGAAGAATCTGCTATGTCCAGAGTCCAAGGTATTTCAGAAATATGAAGAAAAATGTGTACTTTGTATGATATTATAGACATTCAAATAACTTGTCCATGTTAGATTTACAGTGTCCTTTTATCTTAGAAGTAACAAAATGTTTTCATATCTTAAACATTTTTAGAGGTCCCAGATATATATGTCAGGGTCCTAGGGGGACAAATGTGCTTGGCAGGTGATAGTGCTTCAGCCTCAGAGCCTGCCAATCTTGGGATTGGAATGAGGAAGAGGTGAGTGAAGATGCTGAGACATGGCTGCCTCCCAACAATCTCTCCCCCAGACCTGTCTCTTTCTTCTAAATACAGAAACAGGAGAACCCCTGATGGTACAGCATCAGCCTGAACCAACAAACAAGTTTCAACAAGGTAAATGATCAGATATGAATCATTTGAAAGCAATAGGTAGGTGAACAACACTGGCTTCATTTACCTGCTTAGAGAACAGGAGGGTGTGGGAGGGTCCTGAGAGTGGTGGTCATATACCCATCTCCATAAAGATCAGCATGAGCCATGGGTACCACCTCCAAAGATATCTTCTCTTTTTCCACCTGGATTCCTGAGTCTTTCTCTTGGGGGTAGAGGCTGTTCTGTGATGCCTACAGGTGTCTACAGATGCCTTCCCAACTTCTGCAGAGATCTGGCCTCTGTAGCCCACCCTTGGGTACCCTTAGACACACAGCCCAACCCTGGGGAGCATGTGAAACAAAGAGATGACAGTGAGTACTGGCTGAGGAGGAGGAAGCTTCCTCTCTGAGTCCTGGGCCTCCTCACCCTCTTCCCAGTCCTCTCCACAGTACTCTTGAGGGAAGAGACTTTGTCCTTAAATGGCCCTTTCCCTACCCACAGCCTTTCTCTACCCTTCTGATTGCTGTTTCTCCTATACTCCACGAAGCATCCGGTGTGCATTCATGAGAGATTGTTTCTTAACAAGCAGTGGCTGTTCCACGCCAGGTGTGATGTAAGTGCCAAGCTCATCCCCCTCCCCCCCCCCCACCAATTGCTGGAGGAAAGGGAGCCTGAAGGAGAGAATTCTCCCTTGGAGTTCTCTTAAAGTCCAAGAGTTCTCTCTTTGGAGAGAGAACTTAATGCAGGAAATCCATAAAAGTCCCATTTCTGGATCCTGTCATATCATGACAGCTTGTATCCTCCCCCAGAATCCCACACTGCCCATCTCCTAGTAGAGAGGAGGGGAGGGAGGAGAAAGAGAACAGGCACAAGCCTTCCCAAGAACACTCCCATGAATCACTGGGGAATTCAAAAGCTAAGGGAGTGTCCCAGAGAGGAGACAGGCACTGAGCTGTCTCCTGGAAAGAAGGGCCTGGTTGAGTGGAGAATCAGAGAACAGGGAGGATGGGGGGGGGGTCCTCCTCTTCATTTACTGAATACACCTGTTTGTAATTTTTCTCTCCTTTTTCCTCCAGCTTCATCACCAAGAAGGGGCAACGTGTCTGTGCCAACCCCAGCGATCATTCTGTTAAAAAATGTATGAAAATGCTGAAATCCTGCCTCTGAAAAGGGGCTGGGAAATGCTAGCTACCCCCCCCCTCCACCTCTCCTGTCCTACCACCTCCTATGAATTTCTTGGCCTCAATTATAATTTAAAATTGCTTTACAATTCAAAGCCATTTAATGAATACATCTTCTTTGACCACTTCTACCCCCAAATACTGATATTATTATGTGGTTCTATAATCAAATAGGGAGCTTCCGAACCTAAGATTATATGTTCAAATGTGACTTTTTTTAATTTTCAAATTCTTACTGGTGAGTTCTTGTTAAAACAAATTACACATTAAATCAAGCACATTCAATTTAACTTTGTTGGACTTTTTAAAAAAGGAAATAAACTGAAATAAAGCTGGAAGAATTCCAGAATCAGTGGCACTGTTGTTCAAGTAGTAGAGGGCTCGTCTTGAGCTGAAGAACTGAGGGACAGAGCCCAACCCCAGAGTTCAAGCCCTACGACCGCCACCCCCAAAAAAAGAATTCCAGAATCCCCAAAGAGATAAAACACAAGTTGATGTTATGTTTTATCTCCTCTCTTCTGAAACAGCTAAGCTTTGAAGACTTCAGTAAGCCGAATTTTTTCCCTCTCCATCATTTAATACAATCACACTATGTTTTAGTTTGCTTCATTTTTTTCCCACGATAATTTCTTCTAGATTCTTGGTTTTATCACAGTTCCTTTCTATTAGCCAAGAGAGAACCCTAGCATTGATTTCATTTTTCTGATTTCACATGAAGCTTCATGCCATTTCTTCTATGATGGCTATTTCATTATAAAAACAAACATTCTTCTGCCTCTTGGAATTTCCTGTTCCAATTGAGAGAGATTATTGTGGACCTGCCAAAGAGCAGTCACACTTGGATTTCTTCTCATCACACACCTAAATTCATGCCATCATGACACATAGCCCTAAGCTTTCTGCGTCCCCTGCTTCTTCTTTTTGTTTTAGCAGAAGTAAAGTATTGAATTTTATTCTAGAATAACATTACTGCTCAGAAGCTTCTGAATTCTCCGTGGAGATTAAGTTTCATAGACTTAGGGGAAATTCTCAAAGGGCTGTTAGATTAAAACTAGGCTAGCCAGGCTCATGCCTGTAATCCTACCTACTCAGGAGGCTGGGATCTGAGGATGAAGGTTCAAAGCCAGCCTGGGCAAATTAGGAGCTACCATGAAACCTTTCCTCAATTATCCTCACTACAAGGATCCATTCTCCTTTTCCCTAAAACAAATATTTATTGCCACACAGATCATTACTGAGTAGCTACTGCCTATTATATATTGTGCTAGGCATTTGGAAAAACTATGAGAAGGAAGACACACTGGATTATTGTCCTTCAAGAATATTTCAATCAGGGGCTGGGAAGGTGGCTCAGTGGTAGAGCGCTTGCCTTGCATGCATGAGCCCTGGGTTCAATTCCTCAGTACCACATAAGCAAAAAAGAAAAACCCGGAAGTGGCGCTGTGGCTCAAGTGGCAGGGCACTAGCCTTGAGCTGAAGAGCTGAGGGACAGCGCCCAGGCCCAGAGTTCAGGCCCCATGACCGGACTCCCCCCCCCAAAAAAAAGAATATTTCGATCATACTTTGTATCCGTATCTCGCCCTTGTAATCCTAGCTACAAAGAAGTCTATGATTAGAAGATGAAGTTCATAGCCAGCCCAGGCAGAAAAGTCCAACTCTATCTCTAACAAAGCAGCAAAAAGCTGGGCTAGAGGTATAGTTCAAGTAGAAGAGTGCTAGCAGAGCAAATACACTGAAGGAAAATGAGGCCCTGAATTAAAAAAAAAAATTTCAATGCAGTTGGGCATTGGAGGCTCACAACAGTGCCTTGGTTACTGGATGGCTCTTCTAACTATTTGTGAGGCTTAAATTGACCATAATTCAGGCCAGCTTAGGCAGAAAACTTCCCAAGACCCCTTCTGAATAGAGATCTGGATTCAGTGATATGTGCCTGTATTCTAGCTGTGACCCTACCTCAAAAATAACCAGCAAAACGTAGGAGTGGGAGTATGGCTCAGCAGTAATATTTCCTTTCTAACAAGCTTGAGGACCTGAGTTCAAACCCCAGTGTAGCCAAAAAAAAAGAGACCAAAAATAAGAATAAGGTATGCATATAGGTATAAGAATCGTATCTAATTCATCACTAAGACTCCAAATAATAGTGCAATACTGGAGTGAAACCAGGAGGCTATTTGTTTTGGAGGCAATCAGTCTGAGATTCAATCCTCCCTGCATCGCAGTTGGATTTCCCAAGACCTGGAGATATCAATTATTGCAGCTTAGCAGTTCAAAATCTGTATTATCAATAAGGACTGTGAACTATTAGCATACAAGGGAACCACCGGGGTGGCTCATTAAGACACAGACTGCTCAAAGCCTACTCATACTGGTTCTGTAAGAGCAGGAAAAGGCCAAAGAATCAGCATACAATTTTGTGGCCAAGAAGTAAAATGGTCACTACCCCTGATCCCTTTTCTTTCTGATCACCAATGACACATATTCTCCATCCTTTTGTCATTAGGTTGGAACCAGGTAACTCTGATGTTGCCATGAAATGTGACAGAAACTATATACCATTTCCAGAACTGGTCCATAAAGATCTCCTAGTCCTCCTCCACCTCTCTTCCCTTTCATAGCATGCTTGGTGGCCTTGTGACCAAAGTGGTGGCATCACAAGGTAGAAGCAACCCTGGTTTCTGAATGAGCAGAGGGAAAGCTCTTCCAGAACACACTCCCCTCCTACAACTGGCCTGCCTTGGACTGTGAACCTTCCTCTAATCTTCTGGGTTGTTTAGCATAGAAGTACTGCAGAAGTAGGAACTCAATAATTACTGGGAAAAATAAAGAGATTTCCTGTAAGGCAATGAGCCAAATTTTAGCAGATTGGCCAATCCACATGAAAACTTAGCATTAGCTCTTCCTTTCTCAGGTTCCTCCCAGAAACTACTTGTTTTCTGAGATTATTCCGAATGATGACTCCTACCATTTTGTTTGGGGAGTTTTGATAGTGTCATTATGGAAATTTCTAATTAATGACTATCTACCTATCTAACTATGAGAATTCACCTGAAAAATATGGCTCAGATTATTTATACATTCTTCTTTTAAAACATGTATTTAGGGCTGAAAGTGTAGCATAATAGTAGAACACTTACTGAGCATGCACAAGACTCTAGTACTAAAAAAAAAAAAATAATAAAGAAAAATAGGCTTAGTGCCAGTGGCACCTGCCCATAATCCTAGCTAGTACACAGGAGGTAAAATTTGAGAATTGCTCTTCAAAGCTAGCCTGGGCAGAAAAGTCCACGAGACTCTGATCTCCAACTAACCACTAAAAAATCCAGAAGCAGAACTGTGGTTCAAGTGGCAGGGTGCCAACCTTGAGCCAAGCTCTGAGTTCATGTCCTAAAATCTCAGAACCTATACCTGCACACACACACACACACACACACACACACACACACAGAAGAAAAACACATGTAATTATAAATTATCTCCTAAATACTAGGCTCTGTGAAAATGGGCAATGATAAATAATAGGCATTGCTTGTTCTGATGATTCCAGGTGAGTAGAAATTAAACACACCTAACTACAACAGCAAAGAGAAAGGAAGAAGTGTCTCCAAGAATAGCATATGAAGACCACTAGACTGAGTCCCCCAAGGTGGAATCTGTCCTTCAGTCAAACCATTGTGTGGACATGAACACATGGCTGCCCTTGTCTGAGCCCCAGCTTCCATCCAGGAAGTGGCCAGCTGAGAGTGACTGGAGGATTTCAAGTACACAGCATGCAAGCTGTGATAGACAAACTCCATCCATCACTGTGCATTCACCCCATGGATAGAGCTTCAGAATGGTCTCTGGCACAGGACCCCAGTTCATCACTGGTTAAGGACATCTGTCATTATCCTTGAACTAGGCATTCCCACCAAGCTTCTCTCCAGCAAAGGCAGAAAGCCAAAGGCACCAACTTCCCAAGCTCAGAAAGGGCTCTAACTAAAGCCAGCCAAGACGTTTTTAGAGAGCTTAGTTGGGGCTCCCATGAGTCTTTAAAGCACATAGTTTAATTTATCAACTTTCAAAGCATGGACTTTGTTTCTGAGCTTTATTTCTCCTTTTGCTTTTTTTTTATTTATTATTTTTTCCCTTCCTGGAGCTTGAACTCAGGGCCTGGGTACCGTCCCTGAGCTTCTCTGTGCTCAAGGCTAGCACTCTTACCACTTGAGCCACAGGGCCACTTCCGGTTTTTTCTGCTCATATGGTACTGAGGAATTGAACCCAGGGCTTCATGCATTCTAGGCAAGCACTCTACCACTGATTCCCCTTCCCAGCCCTCCAACTGCTTTTATAAAGATTAAAGCATTTGGGACAGTGGTTAGTGCGAGTGGCAACCATTGCATAAATGAGTTGTCCCGTGCAAGTCAGCACCTCTTCACCACAGGGTGTGTGGCAAGGGGCTGGAGATAAGGCTGCTTCTGCGTGTAAGCGAGGACTTCCTAGTTCTGACTGATGAGGCCTGACTTAGGGGACTCTAGACTTCATCTCACTACCCTCAAAATGCCCTCTATTCTCCCAGTGAACCTCTGGTCTTCTGATGAACAAAACCCCAATTACAAGGTGCCATGTGCCATGTTCTGAGATTTAAAACTGGAATTGGACACAGAGCACATCCCAGCCTTGAGATCTTGCGCTAAGTGTGAGATGGTGCCCCAGGCCCTAAACAAGTGGTTGACACCTAAGGAAGGGCTTCCACTGAAAGACCATTCCCACAAGGGGCAGCTCCCTCCCTTCCTTCTTGGCTCCCCGTGGGTCCTTCATACCACCGGAAACAAATGCACAGGACACGAAATTGCTAAGCCATCTCCACTTTTCTACTTCCTTTCAAAATCTTAGTTCCTTATTTATAAAAAATATTTTGCCAGCAAGACCATTTCCCAATAATTGCACATTCCAGAAGCTTCAGGAGTCCCCACAGGCCAGTTCTCTTCCTGAAGCTCTCCTCCTGAAGGATGAAGGTCTTGATGGCTACTGTCTCTTTCCTCCTCCTCCTCCTCATCTCCACCACCCCAGGGTTCAAGGCTCAAGTCTATTCACGTGAGTATAACACTATCTCTTCTTTCCCTATGGGTAAATAAGCAGAAATAAAGTAGCTGGGAGGCGAAGTTAGAGCACCTCAAGAAGGGGATCTGAGTCTTTCTTAAACTGTTTCATCCCATTCCCCCTAGGGCTTGAGCCCCTCCTCCTAAGACCATGGAATGATGCCTGTCCATTCACTCAGTTCCTCTCTTTTTTCCATCAAGTAGAGGTAGCCCACTCAGCAGAGAGATATTATCCCCAGGGAGACTGCAGAGCAGTG